TGGCTCTAAAACCAAATTGGCTGAATGAGAGCCATTCAAATTTTAATAAATAATACATTTTTACAATTCATTATAAAATGCATAAAACCATTTATAATTATTTATTATTGGTTACTTTTTGAATGTTTTTGCGTATTTTATTTTATTTTATTTTATTTTATTTTTTTTTTTATACGTGTTAAAAATAAGATTAACATAATATAGATATAAAATTATTTAATTAAAATTTATTTAAAATGTATTACAACAGTATACGTAAAAATATCCAAAAAGTAACCAATTTTTTTTTTTTATTGATCAATGTACATCGACAACTAGCCACTAGGCCATAAGTAAAAGACATTTTTTTTGTTACATTTTTAGTATTTTAAGTATAAATTTTCTACATTAAATTAAATTGTACAATTAATAAATAATTATAAAATGTTTTATGCATTTTATAATGAATTTTAAAAATTTATTATTTATTAAAATTTGAATGGCTCTCATTCGGTCAATTTTGGTTTTAGTGCCAAAAAAAAATTCAATCTATCTGAATTTGGTATCAAAAATACCCGTCGCTAAAAAAAAAAGTTGCATTGCGCATGCGCGTATCGAGAAGGTTAAAATTTTGAAATTTATCTGAAAATGTGAATTTATATTATACCACTAACTTATAAAAAAATTGATTTATTCCAACAAAATCCGGCTGAGTGTTCCCTAAATTGGTGAACACACGGTGTATATACATTTATAATAATATGTAAACGGTAAAATGTGACTGCAGTGATTATTGATAAGAACATTTATTTTGTAACTATTTAGTAACACAGTACATCGTTGATGACACTCACATAAATTTTAAAATAATATCCTAATATCCAGGCGTGCTCTTATCTCCAAAATAACTACAAATCCCCGGTGACCAGATGATATGTGTTTGCATTTGTATATTAAAATGGTTTTATTAAACATTACTTATGTGTCTGGTGTCTTGTTGTTGACACAGCCAAATTATAAATTCAAACGTACCAAGTTATACGCGTTGTCGTCACAAAGTTAGACGTTTGACCATTATTACTAAACATAATATTTATATATATATAATATATTTTAATTTTAGTATATTTTTGTTTAATACTATGTATATCCACTCATCTGATCACACACCATCCCAGAATCTTTAATAGTTACTTATACCCGTGTACAATTGCATAATATTGAGATTTTTGGCATCTTTTATAATGGGAAATCAAAGTTGTAGAAAAATTTATGACTAACGTATTTAATTTCAATGTGCATTTAAAATTTTTTTACCAACAATGTGGACAATATATTATTAGAGTAGAACAAATGTTATTGTCATTTGAAAAAAAAAAGCATAAAACAACGATTGGTTCACAGTCTAAACAACAAATATAAAATAAACACAATTAGAGCAATTAATCAATCCAAAAGGCTCATAGTTTAAAGTAAACATAACTATTACTATTGTGTGTTTTGTTTTCAAAGCAACAATATATTATATTTACTTATATATATATATATGTATATTATATGTATATAATTATATATTATATACATCGTCTGTCGTAAAAATTATAATAATTTATTACAATAAAAATATAATATAATTGCCTCGAAACTAAACTATGTATTAGAAATAAGAAACATCTACGATCATAAAGTATGATGTACCTATTTTGCCTATACAAAACGCCGTCTAGCACTCGGACCGGACTATGAAAATTCTATTAATATTCTAACTTTCCTAAAAATAACCAAACTTTATAAC